TCTGCATTTCTATAACATTCCATTGGTCACCAGACCAACCCTGGTGAAATGTGGCAGAGAACTCCCCAAAGATGTGAATATCACAGTGATACTCAATGGGAGGCATCTTAGATACGGGCTGTGAAACCTACTCAGTGCTAAAGTGGCAGAACTAGATAATGAACCCAGGCAGTTTGACCTCAGTGCTTGGGCTCTTTAGCATGATGTGGAGAATAACTACAGAACACATATTTGTGAATGTTCACACTTTTCCTAAAGAGGACTTTGGTGGACTTTTGGTGGACTTTTTCGTGTATATTCCATGAAAAGTGTTTGCCAATGGACGCCTGAAAATGTGAAGGAGATGAAAAAAATATTTATCAAGGGCCGTAGGCACTAAATTTCCAAATAGTCCAGCTGATATATCGGTCATTGCAGAAAAGACGTGGTAAGGAGAGGCAGAATGAGAAATCATTTCACATAAATTCTTTTCAATTCGGAATATTATCTTTACTCTTATTTTTCTGCCTCTCTGCTTCAACACCTCTCTCAACTATGTCAAGTACCATGTTGAAAAATACCTACACAGGGCTTTATTTATTAAAATTGTAGCTTAAAAAAATCTCTACTTTAGATTTCCTATAGGTTGTGTTTATTGCTAACATTTTTAAGAATGTTGTAAAAGCTTTCAGATATGAGTGTGCCCTGTTCAGAGAGCTAAGTAATTTGGTGAGGAAATTTCAACTTGAAAAATCTTTGTGCATCAGTGTGAGATATAAATTCACTTGTCAGCAAGCTGTGTCAGAGCAGATTTCTTGTCATCTTTGGCCACAGAGCAGAGATTTATTGAAAATTCTTGATGATATCGCTCTCCGAGTTGTTTTACATAAACATAGTGCAGCGAATGCTTTGAACTATAGTGTGAATAAGAGAGAGAGAGAGAGACAGAAGCAGAGACAGAGAATGTGTGTGTGGATGTGGATGTGTGTTTCTGGCTTTTAAAACTGACACGTAGCAGAAAAATACTAAAAAGCATTTCAATACATTGTGTTGTATCCAACTTACTTTAGAATGATCATTTCTGCAACAACTGTGTTATAAGTAGGTGTAGACTTCTGTGCCCTTTTAGAAATGAATCATGAATCAAAATACTTCAGAACCAAAGCTTTGGAATACAGACTATTCTATGTCAGGGAATAGAACTATGGGAATTGCTGAAATGCAGAAACATACAATAGGTTTATTATTTTTTAAAGAATTATTATTTGCAAGCCATTTGTACCCAGGTCAGTAGTGAAAATGCAAAACTCTTAGAAAGGAAAATTTCTTTCTTCAATAATGAAAGACTTGGAACTGCAATATAAATTTAATCTCTTGGGTTCTCTCAGCTCTCTGATTTTATATTCTGTGGCTTGCCAAATTATTTTTTGTTTCTCCATTCAAATTTATTCAGCTCCAACCAAGAGACATGTATGAAATTCTTTTTCTAAGTGTATTATAAGATATTGGTTAAGTTCAAATAATAATATTGATAAGGAAATGTGCACAATTTGTGGAGTGGGTACCTTCTATGTATCTAAGCGAAACTATCATTGTCACACTTATTTATGGGTAAAAATTGTCAACACAGGGATAGCTTTACAACCTGGCAATCTATATTAATGACTATGCAGTGATCCCATTTGATCAGTAAGATAGATGATATCATTAAATAGACTACCTGGGAGACTAAAAGTTTAAGTTTTCTGAAAATAGACATTATATTATTGTATGGTTCTTATTTACAAATGTATTCAAGTCTATTATCACTACCATTATTACTATAGTAACTATAAACCATAAGAAACTAAATAATACATCAAACCACTTAAAAAGTCTCCAGTGGGTTGAAACGACAGATTTTTAAATATTACTTCTAGAAAATCCTTCTTATTAACTCACTTGAAAAGTAAGAAGTATCTCTATCAGTATAGTGTGAGAGACACAAAGATTACAAAATTATAACCTCTTTTCTTTAAGGAATTTAGAGTCATTTTAGCTGATATCTGGCTTGAATCTCTGGTTCTTTTTACCATTTTCTCTGTCATTTTTTTTTCTTTTTCTTCTTTTCGAGTCTGTTCATGTGTTTGTATATCCCAATTTACTCTTTCTAAAGTATCTTTATAAGACATTGCGCTGTAAACCACTTATTCTCAAATTTTCATTCAGTTCGTCCCAAAACTAATTTGAACACTTTGTATCACCTGAAACATTCTGAATTTAACGTTTAAAAGAGTTTGTTATAGGGGCGCCTGGGTGGCGCAGTCGGTTAAGCGTCCGACTTCAGCCAGGTCACGATCTCGCGGTCCGTGAGTTCGAGCCCCGCGTCGGGCTCTGGGCTGATGGCTCAGAGCCTGGAGCCTGTTTCCGATTCTGTGTCTCCCTCTCTCTCTGCCCCTTGCCCGTTCATGCTCTGTCTCTCTCTGTCCCAAAAATAAATAAACGTTGGAAAAAAAAAATTAAAAAAAAAAATAAAATAAAAGAGTTTGTTATAAATACCTGTGAAAAATGTACTTTTTTCATATACCACTGTCTTAAATAAATTCAAATGTATAAAAATTATATCAGTTTGATATCCACCACCATCCATTTACAAAATATGTGAGGAAGCTTCTCTTTCACTGACAAAAATTTACACTTGTTTCCCCTTGAACTAGTACCTGCGATTTAATTTCCCTACAGAATAATATACAAATGCCATGTATCTTTATGTCTTTTATTGATCATCTATCTTATTTCTTTGCAACATAATATTTCTATAAACTGAAATTATATGTTATTTTATAGACTTATGTGAGCATAAGTTTTCAACTGCTGGGTTTTTTTCTTCTGGATTGAGTTAACACTACAATTAGTATTTCTGTACAATTGTGTGTAAAGAAAGATTTTATTAGAATTCTATCGCTTAATGACATGAATGAGGCTTTTTCCATACACTTACTGCATACATCTGTGGATTAATGTTACTTTTTGCATAAACTCTATTCCAATATTTTTTTAATTTATCTAAACACTACAAAACTTTGTTTGCATTTATGTGTGGGTGACTGTTACAATGAGATTTTTATAGCAGTCACTCAATGATTTGAACTTGCAAATTATATGTCAGAATCCCATACTTTTAATTCTCACCTGAAGTTATTTTTTGTAATGTTTCAAGTAACAACTAGATATTGTCCTCCACTTATACAGCAAGTATAAATTTTAGAAACTGCCTGACTTTCAAAAGTATTTGTTACTCATTCAAGTTACTTACTTCATCATTTTTAAGAGATGCACCTATAAAAAGCTTTACCAAGTCTTACAGAGTAATTATAAAATACATCTGCAAACTTTTTTCTCTAGGAGGTACTTTGCATAATACAATATATTAAGACAGGATTTGAAGCATCGAAATATCACTTATACCATTACAATATAATTCTTTGAAAAATGTTTTTATTTAAATCTATACAGTTTTTAATTCAATTTGTGGAAAACACCCATCACTTCACCTACTTAAAAGAATTAGTCTTATTGTGAAACCAATTTTTTTTATTTTTCAATTCAAATAAGCCTGTTAATATGCATTTCAAGGAGCATTATAAATACACTGAGAAATAAATTCCAGAATGTAATTTTAAAAGCTATTTTACTAGAAGCAGCCCTTTTGATTTAAAATTCTGTATGTTTAATATAATTAATCTGAATTTTAGGTTAAAAAATATGCTTTAAATCTACATGTTGTTTGTAACTAACTTAAAATAATACAAAGTAATCTGTATCAATGATTATGAAGTTACTTATGTAAGAGGAATATGATAAAGAGAAAGCTTTTTCTTTGGTAAATATGTATGCACATGCATGTTGAACTCCAGGATTGGCATTAGGGTGTAATTAAATAAAACTAATGCATATAATAGAAACAACTTGAGTAATGTAATGGACAAAAATATACTGCTGAAGATCATTCCAGGAGCTAGCTTAAAATTTTATTTTTTATTAAAAAGAGGTAGGAAATACTAAACGTTTTCTAAGATAATGTAAGATGAAGATTGACTACAATTAGAATAAATATTTTATAATGTGATATAATTTAATAGGTATTGAATAATGGAATTGAATAATGCTTAATACACCTAGGAAATATTGTGTAAGATATTGATCTGTGGGTTTAAGCCAGTATAAGTAAAAAAATGTTTGGTGTTCCCAGACAACATTTAGTTATATTTAAATTAATGTGTCATTAAGCTGTACCGTTTTGCTATTTGAAGACATTTTCTATTTAAATAAAAATCCTAAGTATGATTATGAGATTATACCTATCAATACCTGATCATCTCTCAAGAGCATTACGTCTTTCACAGAATTAACATAAAATTCCCATTTCCTTAGCCCACTTTACCCAATATATTCAGTTTCTGAACAACCGAACATTTCTTGGGTTCTTGCTTAGGAGAAAATAAAACGCAAAACAAACAAACAAACAAAAAAAAAAAAACAACCACCAGGAAGCCTTAATGTGCTTTTATAGTAACTTGATTCATTGTTTCTTTCTTTGAAACCATAGGAAATTTTGGGGGCGCCTGGGTGGCTCAGTCAGTTGAGCATCTGATTACTGATTTCAGCTCAGGTTATGATCTCGTAGTCGTGAGATCTTGCCCCGAGTCAGGCTCTATGCTAAGTGCGGAGCCTGCTTGAGATTCTTTCTCCCTCTACCTCTGCCGCTCCCCTGTTCCCTCACTCTCTGAAAAAAAAAAAAAAAATTAACTGATACCGTGGGAAGTTTGACATCTCAGAGTAATGTTCTATAGTAAGGTGCTGGAGGCATGAGCTTTTTAAAAGAGAGACTTTGTGGAAAGAGAGGTAAGTAAAGGAACCTATAAGATACTATGAAGAGCATGCATGGATTTGAAGATGGGAAAGTTTAGCCATTTCCTTTCTGCTTTGTAGGTGACAACATAAGATAAATAATAATAAAAACAACATCTTTGTTTTTGCAGCTGTCGTGAGTGCCATCCCTGTGCCAACCCTGGAAAGCGCCCAGTACCCAGGAATCCTTCCATCTCCCACGTGTGGATACCCCCACCCACAGTTCACCCTCCGGCCTGTGCCATTCCCAACATTGTCTGTGGACCGAGGTTTTGGAGCAGGAAAAAGTCAGTGCGATGCATTTTCCTTTCTTTTTATGAAGAACGAATGAATAATAACCAAGGATGTCTTGTTAAATGTATAGCATTCTGACATTAGCATCCCTTGGAAAAATTGACTTTCCTCTGCCCTGGGCCAGAATCAGAGCACAGTCAGTCCTTCGGATCCTACCACGTGCTTTTAAACTGATTCTCTAGGAGCCTTTCCACAGTACGCTCCGCAGACAATATGGGAAGTTGTGTGGAAGCAAAGGTTAACCAGTTCAGTAAAACAATGAAGTGCCAGGTGCTTGAAATTAATACTTGCTGTCAACTAGGAAGTTAATAATCGAGTGACTATATTCCAACATGTTCTTGTGTAAGTGTCTGTTGGATGTATTTAAAGGTGTCTCACTGATTCCTGATGAACCAGTACTTAGATGAATGCTTTAGCTTTCTTTGGTTAAATCGGTTAAGCAATAGCGTTTCATGTTTAAGTAATGATTGTTGGAGAAAAAGATTTCCAGAGTAGTATTTCATTTGTTTTTGTTTGTTTGTTTTTCTGGTTTTAATAAGATAGAGTTGACATACAACATTGTGTAAATTTAAGGAATACATTGTGTTGATTTGAGATACTCATTTATTGCAAAATGATTACCACCATAAAGTTAGCTAATACCCCCCTCATGTCACATAAGAATGGTTCCCTTTTGTAATGAGAATGTTTTAAATCTACTTTCTTGCTTTCAGGTATATAATACAGTATGATTAGTTATAATCACTATGCTGTACATTAGATGCCCAGAACTTAATCATCTTATGACTGGAAGTTTGTACTCTTTGACCAACATCTCTCTTTTTCTCTCTATCCCCCCAGCCCCAGGTAACCACCATTCTAGTCTCTTTTTTTTATGAGTTTGTCTTTTTTAGACTCTACATGTAAGTGATATCATTTAGTATTTGTCTTTCTGTGCCTGATTTATTTCACTTAGGATAATGCCTGCAAGGTCCATCCAGATTGCTGCAAAAAAGTGTGCTTGTTTCTCAAGGCTGAGTAATATTCCATTGTATATAGGCCACATCTTCTTTAACCATTCATCCACTGATGGACACTTAGGTTGTTTCCATATCTTGGCTATTGTGAATAATTCTACAATGAGCATGGGAGTATGTACGTCTTTTTGAGATCTTGTTTTCATTTCCTTTGGATATATACCCAGAAGTGAGATTGCTGGATCATATAGTAGTTCTATTTTTAATTTTTTTAGGAACCTTTATACTGTTTTCCATAGTAGCTGCACCAATTACCTTTTCACCAACAGTGCACAAGGGTTCTCTATTCTCCACATCCTTTCCAACAATGATCTCTTGTCTTTTTGACAATAGCCATTGTAACAGGTATGAGGTGATATCTCATTGTGGTTTTGATTTGCATTTCCCTGATGATTAGTAAGGTCACATATTTTGACATATGTGTGAATACACATATATGTGTGTTTTCACATATTTGTTGACCATTCACATGTCTTCTTTGGGAAAATGTGTATTCAGTGCTTCTGCTCATTTTAATCTAATTTTTTTCTATTGTATTGCATGAATTTGTTATGTATTTCAGACATTAACCCCTTATCAGAAATGTGGTTTGCAAATATTTTCTCCCATCCCATAGGTTGACTTTTCTTTTGTTGATAGTTTTCTTTGCTGTAGAGAAGCTTTTTAATTTGATGCAATCTCATCAGTTTATTTTTGCTTTTGTTGCCTTTGCTTTTTGGTGTCAAATCCAAAAAGTCATTGCCAAAATCAATGTCAAGGAGCTCACGCCCTTTGTTTTCTTCTAGGAATTTTACAGTCTTAGGTCTTAAGGTCAAGTGTTTAAAACATTTGAGTTCATTTTTGTGTACAGCATAAGAAATCCAGTTTCATTCTTTTGCATGTGGCAATTCAGTTTTCTCAGTGCCATTTATTGAAGATTATTGCCCCACCATATATCCTTAGCTCTTTGGCATAAATTAATTGACCATATATGCATAGATTTTATTTCCAGGCTCTTCATTCTGTTCCATTAATCTGTGTGCCCGTTTTTATGCCTGTACCATACTGTTTGACTATCATATCCTTGTAATGTAGTTTGAAATCAGAAAGTGTGATACCTCCACCTTGCTCTTCTTTAACAATATTGTTTTGGGATCTTCTGTAGTTCCATTCACATTTTGGGATTGTTTGTTCTATTTCTGTGAAAAATGCCATTGGAATTTTGATAGAATTGCATTGAATCTGAGATCACTTTGGGTAGTACAGGAATTTTTAACAATATTAGTTCTTTCTACCCATGAGCATAGTCATTTCTACCCATGACTATCTTTCCTTTTATTTATGTCTTCTGAAATTTCTTTTGTCAATGTCTTATAGTTTTCAATGTACAGATCTGTAACCTGCTTGGTTAAATTTATTCCTAAGTGCTTTTTTTCTTTTTGATACAACTGTAAATGAGATTGTTTTCTTAATTTCTCTTTCTGATAGCTCATTGTTAGCATATAGAAATGCAACTGATTTTTGTATGTTGATTTTATATCCTAAGGATAGTATTTCATTTGTTTTAAGGAAAGTAGGTATGGAGAGACATTCTCAATCTATTGTATACACCCTGGTGGTTTCTCCTATACCATTTGACTGTTTTTCTTTTTTTCTTCGAGCACAGCAGTTTAAAATCGATTTTATGGCTTTCTTCCCTTAGTTAGGAACAGGTGACTCAGCAGCTCATGTGAGATAGGATGTTTTGTAATAGATAAGATGGTAACAGCAATAAAATATATTTGTGAGGTAAGCTATATTTTTTCCAACCCAACAGGGACAGCGCTAAGAAATCATAAATCGTCTAGATGTAGCAAGGTTAGAATTAAAAGGCATCAAAAATCTGCCAAGAGAGAATTAGATTTATTTTCCCTTTTCTCACTGCACATCGTGTCTACATAATAGAGTTGTGTGCAAAAACTGAAGGAAAAATAATTCCCCAAACCATATCAAAGGGGATTAAACGAGGAAGATATGGGAAGTCTAGGAAGCAAAAATTTCCAAATCCCAGGACAACTAGGAAAAGAATTCCAGTCAAATAATTCAGAAGCCACAAGGCCCTGCTTCTGCTTCTAAAATGTACTCTCCCCAGAAAGAAAGAAGGGATTATAATTTTAGTCTAGCTTTTCCCTCATCATATCACTGTCTAGTGTTTTCTTTTGATTTCATCTATATTCTCTGACTTTAAAATGAAGCATGAGAAGAATGTGTAAAATGACCTTTATCTCTCCACCATAGCAAGACCAAGACAAGCCAAAGTTCACTTCATTTATTTTTAAGAAGTTAACTATTTTATTTGATTCATGATGTGTTCCTGTAGTTTCTTTTTCTCTTTTAAAGACATAGGTCTTTCTGAGAATTCAGCATCCCATTTATTCTTTGTTTTTCCTCTTGATTTGGTGCAACATGCAAAACTGCCTCATTGAATCACAGGGATAATCATTCCAAAAGTTAAGTGTCAATGAAAGCAAAAATAGTAAATAATCTAGTATAATTTTTCTCCTCTTTCCCCACCAGCCAAAATAAGTTACACGGAGAAACGCAATACCAATGGGATAGAGATACATATATTCCACCCAACATGAACTAGAGAATTCACAGGGAAAGGGAGGGAAGGATGAATTGTGAACAAATAATACAATCTACCACAGATTACTATTCACCAGGAGGACTTGGGTGTGTCACCATTTCTCGTTGTAGAGTCTATGTTTCAGATCATTCCACAGTGTGTGCATTCATTTCTTAGGCTGCCTTGATAAGGGACCATAAACCAGGTGACTTAAAATGATAGAAATTTATTCTTTCAGAGTTCCGGAGCTAGAACTCCAAAATCAAGGTGTTGTCAAGGTTATGTTCCCTCCCAAGTCTCTAGGGGTGGATCCATCTTTGCTTCTTCCAGTTTCTGGTAGTCCCAGGTGTCCCTTGGCTTCTGGAACTCCAATATCTGCCTCCCTCACATGGCTGTCTTCCGTCTGCCTGAAGAGATTGTATAGACCCAGACCTCTAAGGGCATGAATATTTGGGGGCCAGAGGGCAGACTTTTATGAATAGAATTGTGTCTCCCAAAAAGATATGTTGCAGTTCTAACCTCCAATACTGTGAATGAGATGTTATTTAGAAATAGGATCTTTTCAGATGTTATCAAGTTAAGGTGAGGTCATGCTGAATTAGGGTGAGTCCTAATCTAATATGGCTTGCATCCTTACAAGAGAAGGGACTCAGACACACAGGGAGAAGATGGCTATGTGACAACAGAGGCAGAGATTGCAGTGATGCATGCCAATCCAAAGAACATTAAGTGAACTACGACGAAATGTGTTTTTATTTGTTTTTTTATTAAATTTTTTTTTAACGTTTATTTATTTTTTTGGGGACAGAGAGAGACAGAGCATGAACGGGGGAGGGGCAGAGAGAGAGAGGGAGACACAGAATCGGAAACAGGCTCCAGGCTCCGAGCCGTCAGCCCAGAGCCCGACGCGGGGCTCGAACTCACGGACCGCGAGATCGTGACCTGGCTGAAGTCGGCCGCTTAACCGACTGCGCCACCCAGGCGCCCCAATGTGTTTTTATTTGTGCTTAGAGAATACAGATTGGTTTATATCTGTGGTTACAGTCTCATGTACCACTCTAGTGCAGGACTTTGATAGTGGAGCAGGCTGTATATGTGGGGGCAGAGGGCATATTGGAAATCACTGTACCTTTTACTCAGTTTTGCTGTGAACCAAAAATGCTTTTAAAAAATAAAGTCTACTAGATATAAAGGAATGAATGAATGAATGAATGAGTAAATAAATGAATGAAATAAAGAAACATTTAGTCTCTTCAATAATTTTTAAAATTTTATTAATTTATTTAAAGTAAGGATTATTAAATAAGGGTGATTAGATAACTATAATATATAATATAAATATAAAATATATAACTATTATATTAAGTTATATTAAAAAAAGGATTCCTGGGGCACCTGGGTGGCGCAGTCGGTTAAGCGTCCGACTTCAGCCAGGTCACGATCTCGCGGTCCGTGAGTTCGAGCCCCGCGTCGGGCTCTGGGCTGATGGCTCGGTGCCTGGAGCCTGTTTCCGATTCTGTGTCCCCTCTCTCTCTGCACCTCCCCCGTTCATGCTCTGTCTCTCTCTGTCCCAAAAATAAATAGACGTTGGAAAAAAAAAATTAAAAAAAAAAAAAAAAAGGATTCCTAACAGAGTGCTTAGCATAGTAATTTTTGAACTTGATCTAAAATCAAAAGGCATGGACATACCACTCCTGGCCAAGATTTTACAGGTTTTTAAAATACACATTCAGTCATACATCAAGTGGTTTTGAGCAAAAGGAATGTGCAGTGCAAAAGGAATAGGAACAGATCTGTGTTTCCAAGTGATTACTTAGAAAAGAAAAAAAAAAAAATAAGCACCCTCTTTTCTAGGAAACTAAATATTCTCTAAATCACTGTCAGAACCAGTTAACTTCCAGCCATTCAGTATCGGCTTCTAAATGCCTTGGAGAACACTAAACACCCGTGTTCTTTCTCAAGCAGAAAACATTTCATGACTCTGGCTGGAGATGTCTTATTAGTCACCTTGAGAAACAACAAGTCACACATAGGAAAAGAAAAATCTGTGCCAAATGTGGAGACTCTCCTTCCTCCAAAGTTTTCTGAAAGACCTTCGAGTTGCACAAGAAATGAATCACTAAAACTCTGCCCTCAAAGATCTGCTGCTTTCTGAACTCAAAAATAAAGCTGAATTTCTCTCTTACCACAAGGAAAAGAAAAATACAGGATATAGTACATTTGCATTACACACGTTTGGTGATCCACTGATAAAGATTTATATAGAGTTGTGACAGACAAATATCTCCTCTTCCTACTAATAAATTGTAGTCCTGTTCTTAGCTTCAATAGGCAAACTGTCCCTGGGAAAGAAGAAACAGTGCTATATTTTGAAAACTTCAACCAGTAGATAGTCTTGAGGCCCCATTTCTGCAAGTCACTATAAAATCGGCGCCTCTATTTTCTCATCTTTGAAACAGGTAGATACTAGAGATTAGATGATTTTTTTACCATTCCTTTTAGTTTGTGTATTGTTATTGTTAATGAGAAAGCTGGTCACCTTCACCCATGTTATTTTTCTGTGGCAGCTCTCCCCCAAATTGGAAATCATATAATGGGACTTGACCTAGATAAAATCACAGACACATTGGAGCTAATGACTTTTTCTCTAGGGTCTTTGCAAGAATCCACCCTGTGAGGAAGGAACTGGGGTTACTCAGGAATTTTGCATGATGTTGCTCTGAGATTAATGAGGGAATTGGGTTCCTTAAACATTCGTGTCTCAAAGTCTTTGTGTAGAGTTATTGGTGTGCTACATTTCTTTCAAATATTGCAATTTCAGATAGAAGAAAAATCCTCATTTCCATTTTCGCAATATTTTTGCCAGATACTCTGTAGCAATTATTTCTGTGTTGACATTAATTATTATAAAGTGCCTTGAAACTTGACTCTACTGTGTAATTGTATGCTATTTGTACAATGCATTCCCACTACTTCATCATTTGAAAACCAGTGCCTTGCCAGCACATATTTGATTCTCCCTTTACTTTCTGAATTGCAAGGTGGCTATACTTTCCTGGGAAAAGAGAGGTTTGCTTTCAGAGCTCTTCGCCGATCTACATATCGTATCACTGAGCCGGTTTGTTTCACACAGGTGTCTTGAAGCAGGCGCCTGAACTGGCCAAATGGGTTCATCTGACATGAGGGCTTTTCTCCTATGGAGCCATTGCTATTGCATCAAGAGTTTGGACTGCCTCAAACGTCAACCAGTTCTGAAAGCATTTCTTCTGCTCCACATAAAATAATTATGAATTGTCTATGGAGAATCTGTACCTTTCCCATTGTACTAGGTATTAAGCAAACTTGTCATTTTTGAACAAAACAGAAATAGTCCCTTGTGGATTAGTGATGCATTTCATCTCCCATTTCCACCTAGCACTAGATTAGGCACTTTCCTTTTCATAATGGTTGGTGCTGGAGATTGATTTCCCCAAAATCTTCTCTATCTGTGTGGAGCTCCCACTACTTCCCTCAGATATCTTCCCAGTGCAAATCATGGTGGCCACCTGAAGACCTGGCATGGAGGATGGGGCATGTGGAGAATCTGTAATTTTAGAGATGCCAATGAGCAATGGCACTAAAGAGAATAGGAATGGGAGTGGCCACAGAACATTCCATGATGTCATCAAAATTCCTGTGAAGCCTGAGGATTTTGAGAAACTAAATTTTAGAAGACTAAAAAAGTGCATGCAAGTTTTATTAAACTTAATGTCACAATAATATTTTAACATAGATCTTTTTTATTTCAAAAATGTAGAAGCAATAGAACAGGAAAATATGAAGGATGGAATAAAGAAGCATATCACACAATATATTATTATTTCTCTAATGGTTAAAGCAGTTTTTAAAATATATGGATTTATTACAATCCATCTTCAATAGAATTACTTAAGGCAGATTTCTAAGGAAAATTATGAAATTTCTTTCCCTGGAAGATATGGACCTGTAATAAAAACTAGCCCATTGGTGATGAAGATGGACCCAGGTCTGGGCTCCTACGGCTGCTTCTCTCTGATCTAAAGCTAAGAGATACTGTATTTTTATTCAGATACTGACCATTGGTCATTTTCTCCTTTAGATTAAATATGAGTCCAGAGCAAAACAAGCATAATTTTCTTTATCTCTAAAACTATACTGTCAAACATCTAATTACATAGTTTTTAAAGTTTTCATTTATTTGTTTGTTTATTTGTTTGTTTGTAATCTCTTTGTGCAACGTGGGACTCAAACTCAGGACCCTGAGATCGAGTCACATACTCTTCCAACTGAGCCAGCCAGGGGTTCCTAAGAATAGGAAGGAAAGAGAAACAGGTGTTCTTGTATTCAGTCAAGACTGTGTAATTTGAATACAAGAACACCTGTTTCTCTCTCCTTTATATATATTTTTTAAGATTTTAAGTAATCTCTATATCCAATATAGGACCCAAACTCACAATCCTGAGATCAAGATCTACTGACTAAACCAGGCAGGTGCCCTTTTCTCCTTTATGTTCCTACAAATAATTTAGCTCCTAATAAACACCTGCCTGAAGTCTCCATCCCTTCTGCCCTTTTGTGAGAATCCACATCACCAAGGATTTGCCTTAATGTTTTCCTTTGAGCCCCACCTTTTAATCTTGATATTTTGCATGTATGCACCCCTCCTCTCCATGGTAGGACTTCCTAGCCTAAAGAGGAAGCACTTCTCCTCAAATTCCTCTTACCCCCAGAGTTCTCTCCGGTTTGCTGTCTTGATTACATTTTCTTTGAAGAAATCTTTTGTCAACTTTGCCTGTTTACTAGCTCTGGTTGCTTTATGGCTACATCCTGTCCTCAGCCAACCCTATGTCTCCCTGCCTCCATCTTTGAATGGGGTAAGCCTGGAAGCTTCTCAGTGACCCAGAAGACCTCTAACCTTTCTGAATACAGAAAAATGAGTTTTAATATCAAATACCCTCTGAAGGCACATTTCACTTCTGCATATCTTTAATATAATGTCTTGATCTTTGGCATCTTTAATCTCTACTCCCTTCAGCATTATCAAGTTTTCTTTCTAGCTCCTCTGCCCTTTGCTGACCTCACTGAGCCTCCCAGAGAGTTGTCTCAAAATTATCTCACAAACTAATTATCTTGAAATATTTCCTGGTTAAAAATTCTCTTTCAAAGTGAGATATTATCTCCTATCATTGCATTTTTCCCCACTTACCCAATAGAACTTTCTTTAAAAAAAAAAAAGTCATCAGAAATACTCTTATTTCATCAACCTTATACCTCCTATCCAGCTCTTTTCATTTACAGTTTCACCTGGACCTGGTGATTTTGAACATGAATGATAAAGTCAAGTCACAGTGTCCCTAGCATAAGAAACTGTCTTGCCAATATGTTAGTCTGACTCAACTGTGGTCTCTGGAGAAAAGGTGTGTCTCTGTATATAAAAGTGTCCAAATACCCAATGGCAGTCGCAAATGACTATGTGAAACGTCTTCAACTATAGTAATCTGACTGAAAATTGCGAGGTTTGCTGCCAAAGAGGAAAAATTACAATCCTGCATTCAGGCAACTTGTTCCAGCAAAGTCATCTCTCATATAACTTTTTAGCTGGATGTGCTTCTTTTTTGTTTTGGAAGACAATGATAGTGGCTATTATTTGTATCATTTTATTAGCAATGCCTTGAACACCTGGTAACTCTGATTTGTTTGACAGTTGACATGGCATGTTTAAATCGCAGAAAAAATTGGCATATTGGCTGGCAGATAATAATGCAGCTGTAGCTGGGTTTGGGATATTGAATTTCACTGGCATTGCTCCTTGTGAAAGGAGAAATAACTCTTTTTTCTTGCTTCATCACTTATGATTACAGGGCCCCGCCAGTTCAGGCAATAGAGTCAATGCTGTGTATATTTTACTATTGTTCCTGCAAGATAGATCCCTGTCCTGCTGGATCTATAGCCACTGTTTAAAGGGGTGGGGCTGCTATATCCCAGAAATGTATGAAGGGAGAGGAATGAGAATGTTCATAACTAGAAGAAAAGATTGTCCAGATCCTGACTTCTTTCTCTGAATTGATTCAGAGGCCCGTCAGCTGACTTAGGGGAAGCAAGCTCTGTCTGGAATAATGAATGGCTTTTCTTGTCTCCATTGCAGCAGTGAGTGAAGGACCAACCACCCAGCAGCCACCCATGTTGCCCCCAGCACAGCCTGAGCATCCCAGCAGTGAGGAGGCACCAAGCAGAACCATCCCCACGGCTTGTGTTCGACCAACTCACCCACTCCGCAGCTTTGCTAACCCTTTGCTACCTCCACCAATGAGTGCAATAGAACCGAAAGTCCCTTACACACCACTGTTGTCTCAGCCAGGTAAAATGCTCATTTGTTCATATTTAAGTAGTTGTTATCCTTGGTGCCTCTACTTAAGTGCATGAGGGTTCCTGAGAAGGCCGGGTGCAATATATCTGTTCACCACTGATTGCATGCCCAGTATGCTCCTGTCACTGATGTTTATGGAAGAGCTCTTAAGTACCTGCCTTGGCAAGCAACTGGATGGTTGTAGGTGCCCTTCATTCCTTTGAAAAGTTGTTCATTGATCCTGAACCCTGCTGGACAATTTTCTGGTTCATTAGTCTGCCACGTGGATCCTAGAATTTAAGGCTAGACTCCAAGACTAGAGGTAAAGGTACAAAGGTCTGAAAAGCCACTTTTTTAGAGATAGGCATGTAATCCCATTATTCTGCTTTGTGCCTTTCAGCAGTCATCTTCGGGAAGTTCTTATGTCACTGTTCCAGGGCCGGAAAGGAGTATCAGAACCAGGGTAGAGTCCAACTTCTTAATTTTACGAATAAAAAAACCCAAAAACTTAGATAGCAAGTAGCATCTCTGCGGTGCCTATGATAATGTGCTTTATGAGAAATACGTATGTGGTCATTCAGATGACCAAAATATATTTCTCATATATATTAGGTCTTCCTCCACAGTTTCTGGGCACTCTGGAGCTCATAGCTCCCCAAACCCTTAGAATTTCCTTAGTGATAAGGGGGTAAAGGTGTCTTTTATTATGTTGATGAACATGACTTTTTTTGGGTGAACATGACTTTTGGATACCCCCCCAAGGGTGGGGGCTGGTTGCCAGGAGGACCAACCACATAATTACAGGGTTGGAACTTCAGTCCCATTCCCAACCTCCTGGGAAGAGAGAGGGGCTGAGGTGGAATCTACCAATGACCAATGACTTAGTCAATCATGACTGTGCAATGAAACCTGAATAAAAAACCTAAGAGGGCAAGGTTTAGAGAGCTTCTGTGTTAGTTTACATGTGGAGATTTGGGGAGAATGATGTGACTGGAGCGGGCATAGAACTTCCATGCCCTCTCTCCATTCTTCGCTCTATGTATCTCTTCATCTGGCTTTATCATATCCTTTAATACACTGGCAAACGTGTTTGCCTGAATTCTGTGAGCCACTCTAGAAAATTAATCACACCTAAAGAGGAGGTCGTTGGAACCACCTGTAGCCTGTAGCTCAGAAGCACAGATAGCAGCCTGGAGCTTGTGACTGGCATCTGAAGTCAGGAGTGGGAGGCAGTCCTGTCTGGTTGAATTCTTAACCTGTGAAATCTGATACTGTTTCTGGATAGATCACGTCAGAACTGAGTTGAATTCTTAGATACTCTACTGGTGCCTAAGAATTGGTTAGTGTTGGTGGAGGGACCCCCCCCCACACACACACACACCCAACACTGGAATTAGGGAACACCAACCTTAAAGAATGCCTTTCTTTCTTTTTATTTTTTTTATTTTTTTTATTTTTTTTCAACGTTTATTTATTTTTGAGACAGAGAGAGACAGAGCATGAACAGGGGAGGGGCAGAGAGAGAGGGAGACACAGAATCAGAAACAGGCTCCAGGCTCTGAGCCATCAGCCCAGAGCCTGACGCGGGGCTCGAACTCACAGACCATGAGATCGTGACCTGGCTGAAGTCGGACGCTTAACCGACTGCGCCACCCAGGCGCCCCAAAGAATGCCTTTCTAATAAAATCAATCGGCATAGATGATAACCAGAGTCCCCAATTCCCAATGCAGTATTCAGTTTATCACTTCATCTGACATCCAGTGGTGCTAATCCAGAGCTCCTTTTTGTTTCTGTTAGGGATTAAGGGGGAAAAGGGATGGCAGAGAGGGAAAGAAAAGAGGAAAGAGGAAGAGGAAGGAGGAAGAGGAGGAGAAGGAGAAGAAAGAAGATCAACAGACAGGATGAAAGATAGGCCAATAAATAGATAAGTAGATACATAAAGATAAAGAACTATGTAGTGCTTACAAGTATTTGAACTATTGGAATAATTCTTAACAGGCCCAATATATCAAGCATAAGAGAATAAAGTTCAATGGTTCCAAGTAATTAGAGGTGGCCCCCTTAATAGATACAGTTGGATTGGTCAACCTGCTATTTGGCAAGTATGTTTAAGTTTCTGTTACTCAGATCCATACCTACAGTAGTTGTAGTCACTACATTAGTTTATAAGCCTCAAGATGACTGCAAAACTAGAAAAAATACTATTGTGATTATGACTGTTACCTTAGTATTAAGAACATATTGTGTTCCTGGTACCATATAAATTGATTTGTGTTCATGCCCTCTGGTGTTCTTCCTTCCCTGTGATATGTGGTGTGGATGCTCAGCTACCAGACCCTGGGAGGTGGGTTGGAGCACAGGAGGGATTCCATCCCTTGGGATGTATGGATGAGGACTTCTCTGACACATAGGCTCAATGGAGGTCATGACTTCATTTCACAGGAAACAGATCTTCAAATCCAAAAGGAGCCCACACTAGGATTTAAAGCAGATCTGTATTGCCCAATCCCCTCTCCCATCCCCCACATCTATGCACTCCATGCACATTATGGGGAGAGTCTGCTACTTTATAGTGCCCTGAAACTACGAGGTCTTAGCTAATTGAGACAAGGACAAGTATAAAGGAAGCTCATGCATTTAATGAAATTCCTGCATCAAGAGCACACTGACTGGTGATTTCTGATTGCACTGTTCCCCACTGCAATACCAACCAAGAGAAAAGACCTTGGAATGACTGGTATTCAGGATAGATAGCAGGTAAACTGCAACTATTAACAATAACTAACTCTTTAGTGAGCATGTGCTATATGGCTGCCATGCTTCTGAAGACTTGTGACAGTACATTTGATCCTCAGAAAAACTTTGTGAGGTAGCTACTTTCTTAACCCCATTTCATGGATACAGAAATTGTGACACAGATAATTTAAGTAGCATAGTTAAGTGTGCACAACTACTGAGTGATGAATCTTCTCCCATTCGTTTTTTTTTTTTTTGTTTTTGTTTTTGTTTTTCTGACTACAGAAAGCATGAGTTCTGAAATTTTAGGAACTCATTTGTACGTCTTAGCTAGTGTCTAACTTAATGACAACAGCAAAGGTAAATTTTTTTAAAAAAACTTATTAGATCAGGGGCGCCTGGGTGGCGCAGTCGGTTAAGCCTCCGACTTCAGCCAGGTCACGATCTCGCGGTCCGTGGGTTCGAGCCCCGCGTCAGGCTCTGGGCTGATGGCTCAGAGCCTGGAGCCTGCTTCCGATTCTGTGCCTCCTTCTCTCTCTGCCCCTCCCCCCTTCATGCTCTGTCTCTCTCTGACTCAAAAATAAATAAACGTTAAAAAAAAAACAAAACTTATTACATCAAATCAGGCCAAAACTGCTAAACAGAAAAAAAAAAAAAAACATCTGAAATAATTTTGAGTTGAGGAATACCAATTCCTCACAAGCCTTCTTCACTCACATTTTAATGAGGAAACATAAGAGGTTTAACTGTTTTATGCAAAAGAACACCAGTTTTATAACACAAGAAACTAATGTGCCAAAGCACTTTATACTGTTAACTATTCTCTCTAGTTGGAAGTAAAGATCAATTAAGTAAAGATTCACATTGAAAAGAGGCGAAAATAAAATTCTGAAGTCTATTTCACATGAAAATTTACTGTGGCAGAAATATTTGTCTTGGAATACAATGTTTGGAAATCAACCCATGCTCCAGAGATATGGTAACAAAGAACCCTAATTTTAGAAAGAACATCTGACAACAGACAGAATAAAGCAATGGCATTGTTATTTACTCTTTATTGTTTTCTTCCAGTTACAATATTACCCAAGCGACCTTAAACAAAGTCTGACACAATGTAGGATAAATAAGTGTATTGTGTCTTTAAAAGATGGGAAATAGAGTCCTTTCTGCTTTCTCTACACCTTTTCTCTCAAATAATAAGCATATCTGAAGAACGATTCTCTGATCTAATGCCATGCGGGCAAGAACTTATTTTCTTTTATTTCCATTGTACACTTAAGAGCCTTCTTTTTTCTTAAACCATCGTTCTTGTTTTTATTTAAATGATTTCTTAAAAACCATCTCTTCTTTCATATTTTCCGATATCTTGGAGTTTTTGGTTGATTGTATATTTTCATGGTTCTCCTTTAAATGTCACCCTCCCCGCCCCCTCACCTTGAGGCATATCCTGCCATCACTTTGGAATTATTAAATGCCTTCCTTTTCATGTTTCTCCTTCATTGTCTCCCTGTGATTCCTGTTCATTTCATAATGTCTTACCTCATGATTTTCAAATAAGTTCTTCCTGCATTGCTCCTGACACATGGTAAATAGTATGCTTTTAAGAAAGGGCTGATGTTTACTTATTCTAATAGAAAAAGAAAATTAGCAGACTGACAAAGGTATTAGCTGTGACATTAACTACATGCTTCTTAGCCTAAAAGATGAAATGCTTAGAGCTTTCAACAAATTTTAATTCTAAGAAAATCATTACTTTAGTCAAACTGATTGATGAAGTAAAGTCATTCTCTTGTCGGCTTAAAAAAAAAATACCTGAAATAATTTTACTCTGGATTTCACAATAAAGGACTGCGTAATTTCTAATGAATTTATCTTTACTCACTGCGAGTAATTACTTCAGAATATGGTAATGTGAGGCATTGCCATAATTTTTAAAGATCACACCAAATGAGAAGCTCCTTCTGCTTTGAAACCATTGAAATTAGGATCAAGGAAGAAACTCATTCCCTACTCATATTCCTGTGTGTGTTTTCTAAAGGGCAGCATGATTGATCTGTGCCTCAGTTTGACTTCCAGTAAGGCACACAGAGTTGTGGTTGCAGGATGTGAAGGATACAGCAGCACATACTATGAGTAACCATCTCCACGGAGTTGGGGAGACTTTTGCAGTATTTTTATAGTGAGTGGTAATTAGAAAGTCATCTTGTCATAACGACTGAAATTCTGCCTACCGGAAAACACCGATTCATTCCTTCATTTATTCTTCCTTTCCACC